GGCAACATATTCTACTCGATCCGGCGGTTGAGTTCTTTCTCGCGACAATGCACTTTGCCGAAACTTAAAATATACAGCCGACACGTACTCTTTTTATGCAATTTTGAATTTCTCTTTTACTTATTTTTTTTAATTTCAGCCAAATTGTACTGACAAAATAAAACCCAGCGCGTGGAACAAGGTGGAAAAATCAAAGATCCGACAATGTATAAAAACTGAATTCATCACGCTGGTAAAAACAAGCCATGCTTTTGTTGTTTTCAAAATCGGTCCCGCATTTAGACTATTGGCCGTCGTGTTCACTGACTTTATGCAGTTTGGAATATAAAGTCTTCCCTCGCTGGCATCAAGTGTATTTATTTTCCAAATGGTACTGCCAAAACCCCGACATGTGTAGCTATTCTGCCGGTTGACTCCGTAGAGAAAACTTGAATTTGTCAAGAGCAAACAAATTATTTCAAATCCACCACGCACTTTTATTCGAGGAAACTTACTGTACAACCGTCGCATTCCCAGTTTTCACACAGTTTGGAGTTTCTCTTTTATTGACTCGCATATATTTTCCTTCCAAATCGTACTGCTAAAACTAGTCAAAGAAAAAAGGGTTGAAATCGAAAATCCACGCCGCAGAACCGCACAAAATTTCATTCAACTGTATTCATCGCGAACGAACAAGTTGCAATTCCATTGTTCTGTATTCGACATCGGCTTGGCTCTATTAAAAAATGTTGGAATGTATTGTTCCCGTTCTGCCCTGTGATTGGTTAACTTTGTCTGTAACATGCGCTAAAATAAAAACATTGTTTTGAAAAAAATGCGAAAATAAAAGGCATTAGGGAGATAATTTTTTGTGACCAAGTAACAGCCAATGTAGTAATTATTTTGACTCGTCACACAATCTCTCCTCCTCGACGAATGCCATCGTTGGAAGGATAAACTGCGTGACAAGCCAACCACTAATTAATGGCATCCCGATTTCTCGAACCCCCAAGGGAAACGAAACATGGTTCGAGAAATCAAGAGTTCAAAATATCGGGGGTAAAATTACAGTGAACAAATCCAAGGGAAAAGACTTTTGGTTCGAGTTATCGGGTTTTTTGTGTTATAATATACTCAACAAAATATGCAGCTTCTGATTGGTCAATGACGAATGCATAAATAGGTTATAGAGTGCAATACGGAATTGCGATAAACGGTACCGGACAAGAAGAGACGTTTTTGCCGCTTAATGGCATTGAAATAAGCTTTCAAGTTAATGGTTAATTGTTTTCTAAACTATAGTACTGTAATTCTTTCAAAAAGTTCACGCTTGGTTTGCCTGCGCATTCCAATAAAACATGTGAGCACTTTGGAAACTAGTGAAGTGTTTCGTGTGCAGAGTAGCGTGATGGCCGCAGCAAAATTTTGTTGAGAATATTATAAACAAAAAATTGTATGAACTGCTCGTGCAATTAGTGATTTATGGGCACGAGTGATGTTTTAAAAGTTCTCAAAATTGCATGAGCCTTTAGGCGAGTGCAATTTGAGAACTTTCAAAACATCACAAGTGACCATAAATCACGAATTGCACTCGCGTTCATACGATTTCCTACCCTGCGAGCAGAGCCTCTTTCGATCCTCCTAGAAAAATCGGGAGGAGGAAAGAGACTCTGCTAACGGCCTCGACATTCTTTGATTTGCCGCTCATCCAAGGAAATGGATGAGTCAGTCCAGTTTCGAACCGGTCAGACCAGTTTTCCACTGTTGCGCATGATCAATCATAAAATCGCTTACTTTTTCCGAGCCCACGGTGTGTTGTTTACAGTCGATCGACAAACATGGCGGCCGCTTCGCTATCGTACAAAGTCTTCGAAAAAGCCGCGAATTCTGCTCTCACAAAAGTTAAAATCGGTCAGATTTCAAGCCTCACGGAACCACAATCAAGGTCTCTGTATAGTTTTCTGTGTGGCAACGATACGTTTGTCTCTCTTCCGACAGGACATGGCAAATCGCTGATTTTCCAAATTTTAAAAATAATGATTAACCCATTTTGAAAGTGAGGCTCGGAAAGGCTCGGTTACATTGTTACATTTGAATTTGGAGCATGCTCAATAGGAATTGTCGAGGCCGTTAGCAGAGTCTCTTTCCTCCTCCCGATTTTTCTAGGAGGATCGAAAGAGGCTCTGCTCGCAGGGTAACGATTTCCTATACAAATCAAGGGTTCGGGAAATCGGAATTCCACTGTATGTACAGTATGTGGTATGTGGCCCCTAATCCGAACGGGTCCTTGTTCCGGACACCCCAATTTATCGTGTAATTTTTAAATAGGAAACGAAGTTTGAATAATAACTAACTTATCCGAAGATTTATTGATCTGTCTCGCTTGGAGGCTTTCCTGCTGCTAGTAAACGGGGGGGGGGGGGGACCGGTCCGGATTAGGGGCCACATACTGTAGTAGTTGTTGGTTTTCGCTTGCCAAGTTTCCTAATCTTACACTAATTGTCTAATGTCTATCGGATGTCTATCCTAGCGAAATTCAGGCCGAAACTCTCGTCAACTACAACTGCAGATCGAGAGCTGGAAATCATGACAAACGCACAACACAGCACAATTACTGAATTCGAAGTTGTTTGATCATGAGGTTGTTTATCCCGGGGTTTACCGCATTTGACTGCATATTTAATTCGTGGGCATTTGTTCCACACACAAACATAGAAACTCGAGTAAGAAAACCTCAATAGAAGTGTGAAGTAATCGAGTAATGGCTATCTTGAAACGAAAATGTATATCAAAACGTCTTACCTTTAGATGTCTGCCTCAAGCGAAAGCGGAAGTGAGTTGGGTTTGTAAAGGATCACGGGAAAGCAATCACAATTTGTGAACCAGGGGAGGGAGAGTGGGGGTAATCAAAGGCCTGTTCCCCGGGGGGGGGGGGTACTCCCTTATATGGCCTATACGGGGACGTGCCGCTGGACAGGGTATGGTTTTTGGCCTCTCTGCCCTGAACAGGGTATGGTTTTTGGCCTCTCTGCCCTGAACAGGGTATGGTTTTTGGCCTCTCTGCCCTGAACAGGGTATATAATTTCATGCGAGTCTGCCCTAAACAGGGTGTCTAAAATAAACCTGTCCTAAACAGAGTGTGTATTTTGTCGTTTGCCCTAAACAGGGTCCTAAAATAGAGGGTGTTGCCCTACACAGGGTGGGTATTTTAGGGTTTTTTTGCCCTAAACAGGGTCAGGGTTTCAAACCCTCAGCGGCACCCCTATACCCAAACATGGGTCAAGTACCCCCCCCCGGGGCCTGTTCTCAGTGTGTTCTGAACGTAAAACATTTCGCCACTAAAAGACTCAGTTTCTCTCATTCAGTAGTCCTCAAGCAAAGTAACGGGTAGATATCAGAACAAAGAAGCTATCTTCAACTAATAACGTTTATCATTGAACGTGATAGAAATCCTATACGTTCCATAATTGTGATCCTTCTTGGCTAATTTATTCAGAGTATATGTTACTTCTGGACGATTTCATCCCTTCAGAGCAGAGAATGGTTTCGTTGAACTGTAGTCATGTCTGAGGCCCTTTTTTGCCTCAAATTGCAGAACTTATGTTTAGTGTGACTCGCGTGACAACTCTGGCTAAGTCACGCAAGTCACGTTTATAGTAATGCAGGTATTTCGGTGGGGGACTTCCATATAGAAGGAACGGGGGTGACAGTCGTACCTTATAGGGGTTAAAACAGTGGTTTGGTATCGCCGCTTAGTGTGTTAAAATCTAAAATAACTACCGTTAGAGTTACCCCTGTAAGCCATCATGCCTTGCGGGCTGTATGGCATATTACCCATCGAAATTTTCGACGATCATCACCGTCACTTTTATATGGAATTTCCCCCCCGGAATTTTCCCCAGGGATTTTAAATTGTAGGATGACCAGATCTCCTCTAGTATTCTGCATGCTGCAGTGCTATCTTCTCTGGCGCATCCCTAAATGTAGTAATGAGGAAACTGGGGCGGATCATGAAAGGGGAGACTGTAATTATGAGTGCCTGGGATAGGGGCATCCTCCCTCTATGTAAACAGGCCCTACTACATGTTAGATCATTGCTCTCGGCTTATATTTCATCCAAGTGCCAGTTCCTTTCTCATACGACAGTAGCCTGCAAATGCAGTGCAGGCGTATGTTGGATTGTTGGGCGAGCGAGTGCTGAATATCCATCGAGTGTTTATAAGCCGCTATCTTGGATTAGGAAACATTGGAGGGTTAGGAAGGAGAACAAAACAACGGACAAGGGAGTCTCCACGTTTTGCGAATCCAAGATGGCGGCTAAACACTCGAACGAGATAAACCATAATTCGTCCACCAAAAAACCGTCTACACTGCAGGTACGGTTAGTACGACAGCGGTCACTGCTCAAGTAGAACGGCAGACACAAGCCACTAGACAAATAAACTATCACCGTTAACTTTCTGAGGACAATGAGGATCAAGATTGGATAGGGAATAGCCTGAATTTCAACCGTCTCCTCTATCGCTTCGGCTCCTGAGAGAGACGTCTATAGCCGCTAATGTGGGAGTAAGTGACCAGAAGGGACAATCCGCATCACAATTGTTGAGACACTATCTACTATCCCGCTCTTGATACGAACAACTCAATAACAGAAAGTATGTATTACCATTGAGGAGGAAGATAGTGACGTAGATATAAATGCATGCATGCATGTAATGTATTCTGGTCTAAAACGAAACGACCCAACTAATTGTGACGGTGACTGCAGGCTTAACCACTGATGCAATGATTAATCTAAATTAAGCTGTACGGAATGGCTCGAAGCATTTAGTCTTCACGAGCCTATATAGCCTAGTTGTCCACAACTGCCGGAGCTTATCTCGGTTTCTGTAGCATCACGCGACTAGGAGTATTGCTATGTTACCCCCCCCCCCCCCCCCCCCCCCCCCCCACCCCCAGCATTTTTGTCAGGTTCGTGAGAGCAAATCGTCTTGCTCAAAAACACAACACCGGGTGGACAACGACCCGGCCAGTGCTTGAATCTGGACCACTCAAACCAGAGTCCATTGCGCTAACCATTAGGCCACCGCGCCTCCTATGGAATGGCTCGAATCATTTATAAAAGAAAAGAAAATTTTAAAAATAAGCTGACAAGAAATGAATGAACTGAAAATAAACAACGAAACCACAAATCGGCCAAACTGAGATATATATTTAGCAAACAGTCCAACAAATTACTTTTTAAATACGACCAAATGTTCATGCATGGCCCGACGGTGGTCGTATTAACCGGGTTCCACTAATACTGTATATGAATTAATATATTAATCATCGCCAATACAAGTTGTACGAGTAATTATTTAACCTCCTTACAGATTGCCATCTTTTTCTTTTGATGCTAGTAGTGAGAATTTGGTGGTCCATCAAGACAATATTCCCTAGTTGATGATTTTCTTTATTCTCATCACCTGTTCTGCTTGACAATGTATTGATATTGTGAGGAGAAATTGGATGTTGATCACCATATGCATGATAGTGTTGAATGTGTAACGATATTATACCAAGAGAGGATGGACCTAAGAGAAGGATTTTCCGTGCTCCATGATATTTGTTTTGGAAATCTATTAATAGTTCCGTGCCGTGCTGTGAAAAGTATTTTCATTTCCTTCTGATCGAAGCTCCGACATCACGTTACTTGAACTGACCAATCAGGTAGCGCTCTTACAATGTAAAATAACTCAGCTTAGGAGTGAAACTGAGTCAAAAATAGATTCAGGCAAAAGTGTGACGGTCACAAATTTTCAAATTATTTTTATCAAGCCTCAAAATCCCATCATTAGATAAAAATTGCTGCTGTATGATCAGCCATAAAATTTCAACTTGTTAGCACGAATAGAACAGAAGATATAGAGGTTCAAAGTTTGGTACCGTCCCATACAAACCTCTCTAATTTTGCGCCTGTTCTAAAACTGAAGGAACAGACGCAAAATTAGAAGGGTTTCTATGGAGAAATTAAAACTTGAAGTGCCCACATCTCAGCCGCAAAATTGCAATGGAGAGCTTATTTTTGGCAAGTGGACGTTTTTTGGCATGCTTCCTCCGAATAGCTAATCAAATTCATAATTTCGCAAATTTAATTTTTGTGACGTCATAACTTTAGTACTCTATTGGAAGAGACACATGTATGGGGGAATGCTTCTCTTAGATTATCCTCTCTGGATAGTTTTGGATGGGCTTATAGACGGTGGGGGGAGGCTATATATCCGGAGGGGCTTATAAGCGGAATAAAATAAACGTTTAGAAATGAGCTACAGCAGTGTTGATCGAAATACGTTTTTCATTTACTGGTTTTTAATTAAGCTTTAAAACGTCATAATAAATCGAATTAATTTCAATATTTAGAACAAAAACTAGAGGGGGGCTTATAATCGGATGTAGTTTTTTGTTTACAGGTAGATGGGCCTATAACCGACGGGGCTTATAAGCGGCAGTTTACGGTATATACAAACACTCAACGCTTCTCCCAGTGTGGAGAAGCGTTGTGTAACGGCTGCGAAGGAGACTTGTTGTTATCCAGTTTGGTTTCCCGCACATAATAACAACCAATCAGAGATACTACATGGACCCCTGTAGTGTTACGTCATCAGTATGGAATTTTTAGGCTCGAATATAAAATGTCTCCTTCGCTGGGGAATAAAATGAGGAAACTGGAGGTCTATTTAATTTGTTTTCTCAATATAATTTGTACGGCCTAAGCCCCCACGAGTCTCCTGTAGCTCAGTGGTAGAGCATCCGACCATCTACTCTCAGTGTTGGGAGAACTCGGAAATTGTTTTCCCGAGTAGCTTGTGTCACTGACTGATAAACATCTTTCTCACTTGTACGCTTCTTTATCAGCCAATATTTTGGAGAATCTTATTTTTGTGAACAGTAAAAGATCATCCTATTAAAATTTTAGCTACACCCTTCCAATATAACTTTGCAGGTTTGGAAGTATCTGCTCTTTGTATATGCTTAACTAGATTGCCCACTATCAGTTTTCTCTCTAAATAATACTTGGTCATAAATCTACAAGGATTATAGAAGCTACATGGAGTGCACCTTGAAACATTTAGCGCAAAAATTTTCAGATTCCCACAAATCCGAAGATTGTTCGTCAGCTTAATATTACTGCTTATGAACTAGAGAGGATGATCTAAGAAAAGGATTCCCCATACCCCATGATAATTTTGAGATTTATTAATAGCTTTGCATTAATGTTGTAAAACTTATTTTATTTCCTTCTTATCGATGCTGCGACATGCTGTCAATAGAACTGACCAATCAGGTAGTGCTCTTAATTATGGGATGGAAATTAAAACTAGATTTCATTGCAAAAGACCCATGTATGGAGGAATAATTCCCTTAGATCATTCTCTCTTGTTATGATCATTCCCGACCAGATCCAATCAAATTGTTGAGTTAACTTGTGTCCTGCTGCAGATTACAAATGTAAACATGTACATTATTACAATTCTGGCAAATCCTTTTCTAATGCTATCCCTTTTCTTTCTTTGCCGGAGTAAGCGTGTTTCAATAGGCCTTTAATATGTATGATGACGTCAGTTGCTCAAAATTCACCACCAAGCCTCGCTTACACGAGATTCTTCTCAAACTCGGGCACATGCAGTGTTTACACTGATCGTGGGTATTCCTTTCATATTTAATGCTTTGGAAATAATTCGTTCATGATAACATGTCATTTACAAGTTTGGACATTAATTGACATTGACAAGTTTGGCTTGGTGGTGAAATTAGCTCGTCTGACGTACAGGGCTATTAGAGAGATTAAGCATCACGTTTGTTTTTCCCGCAAACGGCAAAAATTCCACTTTTGCCGTCTGGCGTTTGCCGTTTGTACGTCAAAATAAGTAGTTTCGCGTTTATCGTGAACGTGTGAATTATTTTCGATTTTTCTGATGGATTTATTTAACGATTGGAGGAAAAGTAAAGAAAATCGAGTGCAAGCTGACGTTTTGCCGTTTGCCGTAGAACGTGGTACTTAATCTCTCTATTAACTTACAACGCAACGAGACTCGCGGCGGGGAAGAATGAATAATGTTGATCCATGTCTTATACCGTAGTCTCTCAGAGTGCGGGCCATCTTCAAGTTCTTTGTCATCAAAAATAACCTGTTGCTGGTCAGCTGGAATTCCTTCCTCATCCGTAATTTTACTTTTCACATCCTTGATGCTATCTTCCGGTACAACGTCCAATGTGATCATCTTCCCGTTCGCGTTTTCACAAAAATTTGCATGCCTTGATCATCACGCTGCCTTACATCTAACCGTAAGATTGAATTCTTGCTGAATGCTGTAGTGACTCAAAGTATAACCATCTTCGAGTGCCATACCGTCAAAGAAGAGACGTTGTTGGTCTGGTGAGATCCCATGTTTGTCACGGATTCTCTCTTTTACGTTCTCTACATTATCGATCGGTAAGACGTCTAAAGTAGTCGTGCTTTCCAGTTTGCATCATGACATGAATTTGCATGCTACCAGGTAGTCCCTCCAATTTCAAATGTAGGGTTGATTCATTCTGAATGTTGTAATCCTTTAAAGTTCGGCCATCCTCGAGTTGCTTGTCAGCAAAGATGAAGACGCTGTTGGTCAGGCGGAATTCCTTCTTTGTCTTGAATTTGAGCTTTTATGACCTCGATGGGAGTGTCCGGTTTCACTACCAAAGTGATCGTCTTCCCAGTCAACGTCTTTACAAAGATTTGCATGCCACTTCGCAACCTTAGGACCAGGTGTAAGGTTGATTCTTTCTGAATGTTGTAATCCGATAAAGTTCGGCCATCCTCGAGTTGCTTGCCAGCAAAGATGAGACGCTGTTGGTCAGGCGGAATCCCTTCTTTGTCTTGAATTTTAGATTTTACTTCCTCGATGGAATTGCTCGGTTCCACTTCCAAAGTGATCGTATTTCCAGTCAACGTCTTACAGAAGATTTGCATACCACCACGCATACTTAGAATCAAGTGTAGGGTTTCTTCTCTTTGAATGTTGTAGTCATTCATAGAGAAACCATCTTCAAGTAGTTTAGCAGGAAATATCAGGCGTTGCTGGTCAGGTGGAATCCCTTCTTGGTCTTGGATTTTAGTCTTCACGTTCTGAATAGTATCGCTTGGTTGGAAGTCCAAAGTGATCGTCCTTCCAGTCATGGTCTTTACGAAGAGCTGCCCACCACCCCGAAGACCCAACTGTCGACTTGACCTCCAGCGAACGGTGGGATCTTTCAGAGTGCGGTCTTCTTCCGGTTGCTTCCCCAGCAAAAATGCCACCCAGGCGGCATCCTTTGCTGGGTCCTCAAGTTGAGCGCTATCTCTACCTGGTGCTCCTGTTTGTGGTGTAAGTTCACGAGGTCCTTCTCCTGGTATCACCTCATAAAGCCCTTCTTCTGGTGCTACCTCATTAGGCCCTCCTTTATGTGACACTTCGTGAGGCCCTTGTCCTGGTGTCAACTCTGGACTGAATCGCGCGCTGCTCGTACTTGTCATATATGGTGTACTATAAGCTGAAAGAAAAAAATATGTAAACTATAGTCGAACGTGTATATAACGGCCCTGTATTAACCGGTCACTCTCTATTAAGCGGCCAGTTTTTATAGTCCCGAATTTTCGCCCATAAAAACTTTGCATACTTGAAAATAAAAAATATATATATAACATATTGAACTAAAAGTGCCAAAATTGTATAATAATGTTCAGGACGTTTCGGGCTTTGCCCTTCATCAGTGTGAATGTGTCCGTTGGCGAACATCATCGTTGTAAGCGACATCGAGATTTAAAAACAGCGCGCGCACCTCAAATAAAACGGAAATCGGAATTGAGGCCGCGCGGCTGACTGGAAACAAGCTGGAAAATTAGCCGCATCTCCTGGCGCTTTCTATGTTTGTTGCCACCGCAGAGTTTGACGCCGCGCACTTCTGCATCGTGCAGAGAGTGAGTGTTGATGTTAAAGTGCTCTGCGACGGGGAAAACCGGGCAAGTTATTTTCGATACTTCTGAGGTGCTCGCCGAAGCGTTCCCTCAGAGTACGTCCGGTTTCGCTGAGGT